AGGAAATCGAGAGGTACGATATTTGTGGGCTCAAGATCATGTTCAGTGGTCGAATGAACAACGGGCCAATGATCTCTTCACGGATGAGTCACGCTTTGGAATTCATCCGGATTCGAGAAGGCTTAGGGTATGGAGAGAACCGGGAAATCTTATTCGGTTGGATCATGTTCAGGAAGTGCACCCTTATCAAGGTGGAACAGTTATGGTCTGGGGAGGAGTCCAGTTAGGCCGAAAAATCGACCTCGTTTTTCTTGAAATGTTTCTAACAGGAATCACATATCGTGATTTAATTCTTGAGCCTGCCGTGTTACGTGTTACCACATGCCAATGATTTTGGGAGAAACTTCATTTCATGCATGACAATGCACGGCTTCATACAGCCAGAGTGGTAAGTGAGTTTATCAATGCTCATCAATTAATCATCTTACCCTGGCCGGCACAATCTCCTGACCTCAACCCCATCGAGCACGTATGGGACGCGGTCCAAAGAAGAATTTTAAGAATGGGTATGCCTCGTGAAACTCGTAGGAATCTGGTTCGGGCTGTGAATGCAGCGTGGCAGGCTGTACCTCAAGAAGAGATCGACAACCTGATCAGGAACATGGAGAGACGATTTAGGGCTGTAATGAACAGTAGAGGAGGCTATACCCTTTATTAAGTAAAAATGGTTTTATCTTTTTTTTTTTAATTCACAGTTTAGAATAAAAAAAAATGTGTGTATTTTTTTGAGTTCAATAAAAATCAGGGGAAATTTGAAAAATTCGTTAAATTTCGCATTTTTATTTCCAATACGTCCTGTAAACTATTTGTTTATTTTAATTTTATTATATCAGAAATGCAAATAATAAAATTACTGATCCCTAGACTTTTCCGGTGTGTGTATTTTTGATAGATATAAGGCAATTTTAACAGTTGCTATGGAAAAAAGTCCATTAAATCACCCTGTTAGCAAGAAGTTTCACTTCAAATTGAACACCCTGTATGTGTAACATAAATATGTGCACATACAATTTTTTTATATTTTATTTTCTGTGTAGTTTTTTACCGTGATTTTTTTTTCGGACATTTTAATATCTATTTATTCTGGTATTCGAGGTGGAGAAGAATCAAACAAATCAGAGATCATTAAAAGCGGTCCAGCCCTTCTTAAATTATAAATCACAACAAACTAACCGAATCTTTGTTTTATTTATTTCGATGTATTGTCAAAGAGAGCGCCAGTATCAATTCCAGGCCATTTTTATGCTCGAGGGCCAAAAGAAATCATTACAAGGGTTCGTCTTTGTTAATTAGCCAACCAGAGCGTACGAATTTTCTCTCTGAGCGGTTTGTTACGTCACTTGTCACTTAAACAAAAGAACGAACGACAACAGGGAGTGAATTACATAAGCATCTCAGGTATAAACAAGCGCTTTATGTTTTGTAGCATGGTTTGGGTTGTAAATATCAAAAGACAAAAAGACGTACGAGAACAAGCATGATTAAATGGTCAAAGAAAAAATTATATGCTTCATTCGCACAAGGTATCTGGTTGTCAGTTGATTTTCTTTAAAACAATGGCGTTTTTGAACATTTCAGATTATTTTCGTATATTAAATTACTCAATTTATTAGTAATATGACCGATAACAACTGTTATAGACTTTGTGATGCATTCTCCGCCGGTGCTGCCACCGCCAGAGAATGTCGTAAATAACGAATACATACAAATTGTTGAAATCAGTCTATATTGAACGAAAACGAGAGTTTTCACTGAATTAAACGACATGAATAAATTAAAGTCTCAAATTTAGTAATTAGAAAATTATGAAAGTTTTCATAACATCCGCATGAAATTTTCTGATACATACACATAGCTGTCACCCCTATGTCCGTTATACTATTTATCTAGAAGCATTTAAATAACTTCACTTTCTTCAAACGACTACCAAGGCACATAATTTGCACAAAAATAACAAATACACCTTTAGATATTCGCTAACAAGACAGATGAACAAGTTTTCTTAGTTTGAACATGGCGTGAAATAAACTAAAGCTCCTATAAATCAACTTCAATATCTCTGGTTGATTGAAATGCATTTCTTTACTTTCTTCATCGTGTTTAGATGACCTTGTCAAACCAAATCCACCGAAGAATAATATGAAAACAATCACTGTACATTTTTAAAGCTATAAAAAATCATCTGGCATTAGATCTGGTTGATAATCATGGCAGACCTTAGATCATACACTGAGTAGACACGTCTATTATTATCTTGGCTTCAAAACAATGTAAAGTCGATATTTTAGTAAAATTCATGTTATGCGTAATAGATTTTCGAAAAAAAGTTAGCCAACATTTCAAGACACATTTTCTTAAAACAGAAATAGATTTTAATTTTATTGTAATATAATTTGTAAAATATTCCTACAACGCGAATCTAAATTCTTATTATTGAAGTAATATGCTGAAAGGCTCAAAGGAAAATATACCTGTTAATTTTCAAGGTATTCGAAATATTTAACAATAAATCCACCTTCTTGTAAAGATGAAGAAATACATCTTTTACAAATATAATACATGAATATACACTACAGCACTGGCGTTATAATAGATAATATTTCTACAAACTCTTTAGATTTTAAGTGGTTCGATACTTTTAAATGTACAGGATGTAGACTAAATAGTAAATAAAGTAAAAAAAAATAAAGGATAACTTTTTTTAATTATGTGAAATTGCGAAAAAAATATTTTCTTAACCTACATAATCATAGTCCCAAACTGCAGAAAAGGACGCCTATTCCTATATAAAATTTACAACGAATTATTACCGTTACTGCAGCAAAATCCATCTTATCTGTCTTAATATATGTATTGATTTATTGATTTATTGATTTATTGATTTATTGATTTATTGATTTATTGATTTATTGATTTATTGATTTATTGATTTATTGATTTATTGATTTATTGATTTATTGATTTATTGATTTATTGATTTATTGATTTATTGATTTATTGATTTATTGATTTATTGATTTATTGATTTATTGATTTATTGATTTATTGATTTATTGATTTATTGATTTATTGATTTATTGATTTATTGATTTATTGATTTATTGATTTATTGATTTATTGATTTATTGATTTATTGATTTATTGATTTATTGATTTATTGATTTATTGATTTATTGATTTATTGATTTATTGATTTATTGATTTATTGATTTATTGATTTATTGATTTATTGATTTATTGATTTATTGATTTATTGATTTATTGATTTATTGATTTATTGATTTATTGATTTATTGATTTATTGATTTATTGATTTATTGATTTATTGATTTATTGATTTATTGATTTATTGATTTATTGATTTATTGATTTATTGATTTATTGATTTATTGATTTATTGATTTATTGATTTATTGATTTATTGATTTATTGATTTATTGATTTATTGATTTATTGATTTATTGATTTATTGATTTATTGATTTATTGATTTATTGATTTATTGAAGTAATATGCCCCAAGACTCAAAGGAAAATGTGTACCTATTGATTTATTGATTTATTGATTCGAAATATTTAACAATAAATTGATTTATTGTTAAGATTGATTTATACATTTATTGATTTATTGATTTAGTGATAAATTGATATACAGATATATAGAGTTATAGATTTATTGATATATTAGTATATTCATTTATTGATTTATTGATTTATTGATTTATTGATTTATTGATTTATTGATTTATTGATTTATTGATTTATTGATTTATTGATTTATTGATTTATTGATTTATTGATTTATTGATTTATTGATTTATTGATTTATTGATTTATTGATTTATTGATTTATGGATTTATCGATTTATGGATTTATTGATTTATTGATTTATCGATTTATGGATTTATGGATTTATTGATTTATTGATTTATTGATTTATTGATTTATCGATTTATCGATTTATGGATTTATCGATGTATGGATTTATTGATTTATTGATTTATTGATTTATCGATTTATCGATTTATGGATTTATCGATGTATGGATTTATTGATTTATTGATTTATCGATTTATCGATTTATGGATTTATTGATTTATTGATTTATTAATTTATTGATTTATCGATTTATCGATTTATCGATTTATCGATTTATCGATTTATTGATTTATTGATTTATTGATTTATTGATTTATTGATTTATTGATTTATTGATTTATTGATTTATTGATTTATTGATTTATTGATTTATTGATTTATTGATTTATTGATTTATTGATTTATTGATTTATTGATTTATTGATTTATTGATTTATTGATTTATTGATTTATTGATTTATTGATTTATTGATTTATTGATTTATTGATTTATTGATTTATTGATTTATTGATTTATTGATTTATTGATTTATTGATTTGATTGATTTGGTTGATTTATTGATTTATTGATTTATTGATTTATTGATTTATTGATTTATTGATTTATTGATTTATTGATTTATTGATTTATTGATTTATTGATTTATTGATTTATTGATTTATTGATTTATTGATTTATTGATTTATTGATTTATTGATTTATTGATTTATTGATTTATTGATTTATTGATTTATTGATTTATTGATTTATTGATTTATTGATTTATTGATTTATTGATTTATTGATTTATTGATTTATTGATTTATTGATTTATTGATTTATTGATTTATTGATTTATTGATTTATTGATTTATTGATTTATTGATTTATTGATTTATTGATTTATTGATTTATTGATTTATTGATTTATATACTGCAAGTACTTCAGCAATTACATCTTTTACAAATCACAGAGGAATATAAACTACAGCACTGACTTTATAATAGATTATATTTCTACAAGCTCTTTAGATTTTAAGTGTTTCGATACTTTTAAATCTACAGGATGTTGACTAAATAGTAAATTAAGATAAATATAAAACTATATACATTATTGTGTATAGAATATTAGTGCTCCTTACTTGCCAAGGCCAAGCTCCTTTAATGCTTTGCTTTCCATTGATAATTCTTCCTACAGAGCCAATCCTAGGCTGCCTGGATCTTCGGAAGCTTCTTCCACACTCTGGAAATATATACCAGGCGTTAAAAAAATTAATAACACCATAATCTAAAAGTTCATTCTCAAACAAAAGTGTTTTATATGTGGTTTAATGAAGATCAGAGTCCAAAAATTACTGAAAGTTTTTTAGAAATCAACCACCTTGTTACTATTTGACGATAGCATTGCCAAGGGGTTTGAAAAGTGGGCAGATTTTGTACTTTCAGTCAAGCCAAGAAATCTTCATAGCCTCCAGCTAGGTAAAATAGTTTTTGCTCGAAATAATACGAGTGAAAATTAATGGTAGCGTATGTTTTTTCCTGGTAACTAATGAGGTATTAAAAGTGATTTGTTTGGGAACTACTAAATTATATGTGGAGATATCGGAGATTGTTTATCTAGACTTTCATAATTTCTGACAAGGAATTATGACTTTTTCATGTGTCTTAATCATTATAAGGTAAAGATAAATATTTCATGTCTTGGAGGAATGGTGATATTATATAATTTCAATAAATATGGAGATTGTATGATTGTATTGCTATCACGGGATAGCACATAGTGCCCACACAATTTTTTTAGTGAAATTTTCCTAATATATTTTATTCTTCACACTTCACTCATGAAACACACATTACTCCGTACGGTACGACCACAAAATTACCTAGTTGATGTGCCCGCACCGCGGACACCCCGATCTGGACCACCAGCACCAACGAAAGTAACAGTACTCGAGACAGAGGTTGTCGGCCGACCATAGTACGAGCGCCGGGCCACGGCCATGGGTACTACTGAGGCGAGCGCCAGCAGCGGTACCGTCGGGGCCATACCAAAGGCCCCAATGTCGCGGTACGCGGGAGAAAGAGAGTGAAACCGAAACGGTCTGAGAGGTACTGAAGAGTACTAGGCCGGTGCTGAAGCGTGGCGAACAATTGAAAGTGTGCGACGCGACGTGTGATGGCGATAATCATCATGGAGGTACGACCGTAAGTTTTAAGTCGCGTCTACATGTGAGGGGTTCAGAAGTGAACTGGATCAAGTCCTAGAAGATAATTATGGAGAAAATGAGAGTTAAAGTTTTTTTTTTCATAGCAACTGTTAAAATTGTTTTATATCTATCAAAAATAGTAGATAAAATTGTACTTTAACCGCAAAGGTAGATTAAATGATACTTCTTCTCGCACGTTTTTTAATTGCTTCCATTTTTGAAATTTTTTTTATTCCTTTTCATAAGTTATTCGGGATTTAAATGGTAGTTTGGATATGGCTTTTGTCGCCTCAGCCTGAATATCTGTAGTAATTTAGTTATTTCGTTTTGAGCCATTTCTCGCTCCAATTCAATCAGCAATCGACACGAAAGAGAATTAAAAAATACTGACTCAAAACTGACAACTAAAGAGACAGCTTTATTTATTTGTCAAATTACATAGAAACCAAATTCAAAATAAATTCATTAAATTCCTTGAAATAATAATTCCTGTATATTTTTCACAACCTAACCTAGTAACCTAAAACGTAACTCGCCATGGAAAAAAAATATTGTTTTATACACGACGATAAAATTGTATTATCGTCTTGTATAAAAAATAACTATTATTCCGCGAGCGAGATGTGTTTAAAAAACCGCATCACCCACCGAATAAAACAGCGAACGGGAGACGTAATAGCGGCCGAAAGGTTCGCTGACCCTGGCTCGCGTTTGGCGGCGTTCAAGATGTAATGAGTACAGTCGCATGATCGCGCTGTCAAAGTATTTTTATTTTTAGCGTTATCTATAAAGCTCGACCAATACACATTTTAAATCATTGAAAATGAATTTAATTACTATTCGAATAAATTTACTGAGAATTTTAATCTATGACATACTGATTAATCACGATCCTGCTCAAACCACTCAACGTAAGAAGCTCAATTTTGGCATACAGGTTGATTCTAGGGTGTAGAGGTTCGATAAGAAGGGATTTTTCGAAATTCCAGTTCCAAGAGGGTGAAACCACCCCTCAAATATTACAATATTTTTTATTTAAAAAACGGTCAAGTTTCCGGAAAAACGCTTAAACACGTATATTTTATTTTGTTTTTTTACATATTTTAAGATTTTTTAAAAATGTATACAGGGTGTTTCGAAAAATCTGGTCATTGATTAATCACGATTCTGCTTAAAGCGCTTGACGTAAAAAGCTGATTTTTGGAAAGCAGATTGACTTTAGGGTGTAGAGGTTCGATAAGAAGGGATTTTTCGAAACTCGAATTCTAAGGGGGTGAAACTATCCCTCAAATATTAAAATATTTTTTATTTGAAAACGGTGAGTTTTTCGGAAAAACTCTTAAACACGTATATTTTATTTTGTTGTTTTACATATTTTAAGATTTTTTATAAATTTATACAAGGTGTTTCATAAAATATGACCATTGAGTAATCACGATTCCGCTTAAACTGCTTGACGTTTAAAGCTGATTTTTGGCAAACGGATTGATTGGGGTGTTGAGGTTCGATAAGAAGGGGTTTCTCGAATTTCAAATTCCAAGAGGGTGAAAACGCCCCTCAAATATTACAATATTTGTTATTTAAAAAACGGTTAGTCTTTCGGGAAAATGCTTGGACAAGCATAATTTAGTTTTTATATTTTTTTTTTACATATTTTGAAATTTTTTAAAAATCATACAGGGTGTCCCAAACTGCTTGACGTAAAAAGCTTATTTTTGACAAACGGATTTTTCGAAAGTCAAATTCCAACGAGATGAAACTACCCCTCAAATATTACCAAGTTATATAATAATATCGCCATATTGTTTTTTCTCATGCTGACATAAATGTGAGAAAATTTTATCCAGTTTGTATGTTAATAGAAATTCTTGCTTTGCGGTATGATCACCATAACAAACGATTAATTCGACGCGAACAAAATCGCTGGTACATGCTAGTTTAATATAAAATATTGAGTTGGCTAGAATAGAGTTTTGGCTTTAAAATATCTGTACAATAATTTATTCGATAATTAGGAAAATAAAACGACGCGAATTTCAACCTCAAGAATGAACAAACGTAGGCGAGCCCGCTCAAAATTTAATTATATTTTATTAGGCAAATAATTCCCTAAACAATTAAGGGTCGGAAGCAGCCCTGGAGGGCACGGAGAGACCCTTTAAAAGGCTTCGCGCCGTGCAGTTTGACGGCGATTTAAATAATAGAGATCGATATGGCAACAGCGCGCGACTAATTAAACCTACTTCCGCGTCGTTTGGACTTTTTGAAACATAGTTTGTTTCAATAACTAATCAAAATAATTATAATTTTATTTATTTTCTTCAAAAAAAACTCTTCTCGAAAAAATTTCGTCTCTAAAAATGCTTAACGTTTCAGAAAATACAACTCCTAACAAAAAAAGAAACACAAAAAACAAAGAAAAAAAAACTATTTAAAATATCTAAATACAAGGTTTTAGTTGATACGACAGGTAAACCGTTAAGTGTAGACAAAGCTTTAAAAGCTGATATTAATATTTCCATTATGGGTTCTCGTCAAATCGTCTCAATTTTGAATTTATTAAATCCTTGGACCATTACAAAAAAACTTAAATTTAAAATCCAAATGAAAAATAAACGGTCTTGAAGCTTTTCTATTATTTTACTGTTCCCTGAATTGAGAGAAAAATACTAAAAGAATTTCCTAATAGTTTAATAGCTTAAAATTAATTTTAGAGGAAGTATACTATACAGGGTGGACTGAATTGTATTCCGTAAACTTCGGCAGTATACTCTACAGATAGAAATAGGTGAAAAACTTCATATCCTATGTATTTATTTCGATTTTTTTCAAATAATTTCGAAGTAACGTCAACATTTCGATGAAAATTGGTGGCTGGGAGTTTTTTGACGTGAGAAATTTGATTTTGATGGCAATGACTCCTATGTGTAAGGGGCGCCACCTACATGTGTTTTATCTGTTTTAAAGAGCAATAACTTTTCGTCCTTACTGGTATGAAACTATCTCTTTGTAAAAAATCGCTACGAGCAACCATTCTCAAGATATTTATTTAGAATTAGTGATGGGCAAAACTGTTATTTTTGCGGTGGTTATATACAAATACGCTATGTTTACAAATTGCGATATAAAAAAATCCAAAATGCCGCCACTCACCGGGCACGTCATTGTTGCAACTTGCAACTGCGTTGATACGCCTGGCGGTGACCGCCTCATACTCTTTTAGATATTTAGCAATAAAATTAAGAAACCTGTTATTTTTAACCTGTTATTTTAAGCTGTTTTTTATAAATAACTATAACAGTTTCAACCATAGACTTAAAATAAAATATAGACTACACTATTTACATCTCAACGCGGACAAACAACCTTTTTTGTACACATGTTTACTTCTGGGTACACTCGACCGAGCCTTCATCATCCAGCGTATGTTGTCACGTCTTTAATATTATCAATATTTTTTTTCTTGTTATACACATATATTGAGATATTAATACTACAGTTTAATAAAGTAGGTTTTAATATTCCATAGATGTATTAAATAGTCCTTATACTACTAAATTATAAGTCGAATACTGTTTAATAAGGATAAGTTCTTTACAATATGACAACACCGATTAGAGGGAGCCTATTCATTCATTTATTACCTTGTAGTACGTGTCGCACGTGTGCGGTAAGGCTTTGTTGCCGCTATCTCCCCGGCTGTATTAACGCATTTTCTTAGCTTGTAGTCCTTAAGTATTTATTTTATTGACTTTTTCTGTTCAAGAACTATAAAATATGGTTCGCCAGTGCCAAATTTGCAAGAAATTTGACTTAAATAATCCATTTAAGTCTTGAAACGACTTTTGACCGGTAGGCAACTCTCAATTTACCCATTGGAAGTCAGTGGCGTTGTTGTAGAAAGGCGCTTATTTAGATAATATTTTAGTAAAATGTAAAATCTGAATTTTTTCTCTTACCCATTACATTATTTACTTACTTACATTGTAACAATATCATAATTATAACCCTGTTAATAATTAATAATGTTTTTATTAAAAATATATTCCGGTTTATTCTAAAATTATCTTCAGAATCTAAAATAACATACAAGAATTTTAAAATGATATTACATTATGAAACAATATTTTTTAATATACCGGGTCGTCTCAAAAAAGGCTCACCCCCTATAACTTTTTTATTTTTTCAGATAAAAAATAACAGATTTGTATGTTAGTAGGTATATGACATAAATTAGGATTTATTGACGTATTCAATTGATTTTGGTCTCTTCCTGTTTCACCGAAATTATTACATCTTTTGATTTTTAAAGGCACCCTCGGTATATTGTTACTTTATTCGATAAAAAATAATACTCTGTAAACAAATCCTATTTTAAATTTCAATCCAGGGTGCCATGGTGTTGTTAAACACACAAGTTTTAATCAAGGAGCCTTGGAAAAATAGTTTTGATCGTCTAATGGGTTTCGTGTCTTGTCTAGGCCGGTTAAAAGATGTACAAATCGTATTTTTAATCATACATATGTCAATTTTTTCAAATGGAACAAGGGAACAAGGGACTCATTAGCATATTTGGAAAAAGCATTTTTTTATGAATATATTGATACCACACACTTGGTATTTCGAGTCAAATTGTCGTTATGAACCGCGTGTTACAATTACAATTAAACCATATGCAAAAATGTCAAAAGTTGACATATGATATATGTCATTCTATTCAGAGTGTCATTTTCCATCGAATAAAGTAGAAATATACCAAGGGTGCCCTTTAAAAATTAAAAGTTATAGTCATTTCCGGTGAAACAGGAAGTGACCAAAAACAATTGAATGCGTCAATCAATCCTAATTTATGTTATATACTAACATACTAAATCTTGTTTTTTTTATTTGAAAATATAAAAAAATTATGGGGATGAGCCACTTTTGGGACGCACCCGGTATAATGAAGACAGTACCGAGTTAAATAAATGTAGTTTTCATTTTATCCACTTTCTATCACCTTCCTTGCTTTAATGGAACAGGTTTATGTTTTCTCTAATTTACATAATAAGACATCACTTAACCAGAAATAAAATTACAACAATCATATTTTTTTTTTCTCCCTGTCGCCGATTCTATTATATCTGTGGAATAGATCCTGTTTTGATTAATATTAGGGGTTGTAAATGTTTGACTAAAATTAATAATTTATTATTAATTTCAAAAATTACGTAATTTCGATTATAAAATTTCTTCTATGACGTGTATTTTAATATTTTTATCCTTTTTGGACTCTAAGACGTTTTTTCTAAACTTTTATTTAAAAAACCTGTCCTAAAACTTAATAAAATATAAAAAAGCTTAAATACGATATATTTTTAATTTAATTATAGCTTCATTAAAATAAAAAAATTACCCGGCTATGAGACGGAGAGTTCAGGTGTACTTGAGAAACGAAAGACAGTGTTGTGTTTCTCGGCAGAGTCGTCAGGGAACGACCGTTACGACAGAGACAACCTATCTATCGCTCGTGTCGCACTCGTTATTAACCTAAAACAATAACAAAACATTGTCTGACCGCATGTTCCAGCTATTTATGAATGAGATGCTCAGTCTATATTTTATTTTAAGTCTATGGTTTCAACTGTTATCTAAAAATAACAGTTTTGCCCATCACTAATTTAAACTACCCATCTTATGATCAACACTATGATAGAGGTATTAAGCAAATGTAAGTGTGTTAAAACAAATCAAAAAACGTTCTGTGTTTTACTTATATCTGTGTGTATGTTTAAAGTGCCTAAGTTTATCAACTGGACACCCTTTAGGCGCAGAGTGCAATAGATCGAATTTAGGTGAAGTTAGCCTGTAATTTTGCCTTTTGTTGCTTTAGGTAAACTGAAACCCGCCGTTTTAAACTTCATAAGTGGAAGGTTCTCGTAAACTAAAGCTTATTATAAAAATAGTATCGTAATCACTAAATATCTCTAAACAATCTCGTAAAATTACATCATTTTGAAAAAACCAAACCAAACCAAAGCTGCTGTAATTAATCCAATAAAATTGTCATTTGAAAATAAAAAAATTACGGGCAAGGTGATTTTTTCTGAGTTTGTCAGCGACTGTCTTCTGAGTGTAAAATTAACAAAATCGGAAATTTTCCCCTTGCGGTTTTTGAGCAATGGGGCTGGTTTTTTTAAAACTGTACTACAACAAAATAATTAGACGCAAATTGTACAGAAGAACATTCTCTATAAGTTCGCCTAATGATTTTTTTTATAAGTTTATTATTTCCGGCATTTATTGATTTGGAGAAAGCGTACGACTCTATTCCCCGCAGCAAGATATGGGAAGTCTTGAATATCTTAGAAGTAGATAAACCTTTGCTTAATATAATAAAAGAGCTATATAAAGAAAATGAATCGTACGTTAAGATAGGACACAGGCTATCTAATCCAATTAACACCACAAAAGGGTTGCGACAAGAATGCAGCTTATCTCCTCTGATCTTCAACGCTTACGTCGAATTAGCCCTTAGGGAATGGAAGACGAAATATCAAGGTATGGGAATACCCATTGGGGACAACACACTATTTACCCTGAGCTTTGCAGACGATCAGGTCGTGATTGCGCAGGACTCATACGATCTAGAGTTCATGACTAAGAGGCTTTATCAAGTATACAACAAATGGGGACTTCAGGTTAGTCTAAAGAAGACCGAATACTTAGCTGTCAATTCCAACACTTGTTTTGAAGTCTTCATTAATGATAACGTCCAGATTCAACAAGTAGACAAATTTAAATACCTGGGTGCTACTATCAACAACGAGGGTTTGGGCAAAGAAGAAATACAAACCCGAAGTTACTGGATGTCTTAACAGCCTCTGGTGGGACCGAAACTTATCTGCAACAACTAAAAAGAGACTTGGAAGAACATTGGTGGAGTCAGTTTTTTGCTCTGGTTCAGAGCTATGGACTCTGAGTGCAGACGCGAAGCGCAAAATCCAAGTTGTTGAAATGGACTACCTTAGAAGAAGTGCAGGTATATCTAGGATGGAAAAAAAGACAAACATCGAGGTCAGGCGTATCATGAATGCATCGGAGGAGACAGTACTGGACCGAATCGAAAAATCCAGCTTAAAATGGTTTGGACATGTTCTGCGTATGCCGGAGAACAGGTGGCCAAAAAGAGTTTTTCAATGGGCTCCCCAGGGCAGAAGAAAAGAGAGGTAGACCTAGAAAATCCTGGAACGGAACGGTTACGGAAGCAATGGAAGCTCGTAACCTAGAAGCTGATGACGCTCTAAATCGAGATGTGTGGCGTAGGGTAACGGGAAGGCAGCAATAGGCTGTACTTGGAAATGAGTATTAAATACTTAAACCAAATCCCGTTTATATATATTATTTCCGGACTTAGCGGGCGTTTCATGAGCCCTTTGGGCTGGTTTTCAAAAAGTTTGTTTTACAGCAAATTGACCCGTATGAAAGTTGTTCATGATAAATGGACAAGCAACTTTTCCTCATGATTTTTTTTGTAGCTTCATTATTTTTGGAGATAGCGTCCAGTTCATAAATTGGGGTAGTTTCGTAGTCTTCTTTTGTGTGATGGACCTGGCGTTGGCTCCACAGATTTATTGTTGGTTTCTTTTGTTGCTTTGTATGAAGTAAACTCAAAATATAGTTCATAAGGCAAAGGTATGTGTACTCTTATTTTGAACGAGTTTCCTGGGGCGAATTTGCTGAAAAAAGAGTAACATTGAAAACTACCCTAATTTGTTCAAATAATCAAGCTACAAAAAAAGTCATGAGAAAAAGTTGCTTGTCCTTGTCAGTTGTTTGTTTTGTCCTTGTTCCTTGTCAATTTACTGTAAAACAAACTATTTGAAAATCACCCCAAAGGGCTCATGAAACGGCCCCTGAGTCCGGAAATAATAAACTTATAAAAAAAATTCATTACGCGAACTTATAGAGAATGTTCTAATTATTTTGTTGTAAGTACAGTTTAAAAAAAAACACCCCTATTGCGCAAAAACCGCAAGGGAAAAATTTCCGATTTTGTTAATTTTATACTCAGAAGACAGTCGCTGACAAACTCTGAAAAAATCAGCTTGCCCGTAATTTTTTTATTTTCACTCTCTATACGGCGATACAATTTTACTGGATTAAATATATCCATAATATTTCTTGTATATCTTATAGATTTCCAGTGTAGGTAAAAATGAATGATCTACACACTAACTAAACGTTATGTGTAGGTTATTCTATAAGTGAAGGCAAAAAAAGATGTAAAATTGATTGATTCTTTTTTAAATCAAATAAAACACATGGGAAGCGTTAAACATGCATTTATTCAGTTTGTATACAGGGTGATAGAGAATAGATAATATAATTATTATTAATATTAGCAAAATGCGATGCTCTAGATATTTTTTTAACATTATATTATTCTTTGTATGTTTCTTATAACACCTTATAGATTGCAAAGAATACTGAAGGAATGAGATACAGCATTTGTTAGTATATTTATATATTTATTCTATTTATTCAAGAACTAATTAAAAAAAAGAAATAATATACTAGAGAGAAATAACATATTATTATTTGATATAATTAATTTTAAATAGATTTGAATTTAATTTTAAATAGCATGTTACTTCTCAAACTAAGAGACCTTTTTTTGGAGTTTTTTTTTCTGAAATATTATACATAAATAATAAAAATATGTCGTTAAATTAATATGACAAATGTGAAAATTGATTTTTTTTATATTATTAGCGCTAAAACAATTGCAGAAAAACACAAATAAATTAATAGGAAGAATATATTAATGCTGGATTGACATTTTCTCGGTTAAGTTTCTCATCTTCTTAGGGGAAGCCAGTCTTGTAGGGCTGCGCCATCTTGATTATTCCGGTACTAGAAAAAGAAATATTATATAAATACATTAAAAAAAAAAATTATATATGGTTAGGTTAACACCCATATCGATAATAAATGTATCGATATTTTATCTATTTACTATCGATAAAATAATTGTCGATATCTCCTCACCTCCCTAGTAGTTTACCTCTAATTGAAATTTAGTCGCAAATTTCAGGCAGAACGATTTTTAAAAGGCAATTTTTATATTTAGACGGGACATTTTTAATCTTTTAACGAACCAGAGATTATTGCGGAAGTTTCTAGACTTTCATTAAAAGAAATAACGAAGGAAAAATATTTAAATAAGAGGTATAATAAAGTAGAAGTAGCAACTTATTATTAATATAGTTTTATCTTTATTAAATACTTTAACCAGACCGAGATACGATTTTTAAAATACTGAAGACTCGTACAAGATCTAGAAATGAAATAAAATAAAAAAATAGAATTAAATCACGTTCTAAATTCAGGTATAGGTACAAACATGGAATTTAAATTTTGCGCTGGGGATTCAGGTGGCAGCTCGGCTGTAAAAAATATTAAGTTGTAATATTTATTTATTATTTCCTGACATTGTCATTTAGTTTCGTATTACGAGTTTTTGGTTTAAATAAAGAGTGTTGTGATACCTTAAGCTGAAAAATGTTGACTAGCAGACATTGCAGTCGAACATTGTTCTTTTTAGAACCTCTTTTAGTGCAAAGTGGGTACAAAATAGCTTAATAGCCGTAAAAAACTCATCACAACTTTATTAGAATATTTTGGACGGGAATGGACTTCCTCAGAAGATCGGCATAAGAAGAATAACAAAGAAAGAGATAACCATTGCAGAAGAAATCCAAAAAAAAAAAATTAATCTTAAAAAAAAGAAATTCTTTGTAATCTAGGGCCCCTCTATGTTTTCTTATTTCCCTGAGCGTGGTTTTGGCAACGATGTAAGCGTGCAAACGTCAAGCTTTCAATTTCTCGTTCGACTGTTAAATTAGATTTAATTTTATTGCCATTCCGACAGGTTTTGTGTAGTGTTTTATTTAGTTCTCCCATGACCAATTATTAAACAATTAACTATAAAAAGATGGAATTTGTTTATTTATATTCACTTTTTTCATAATTAGCTTGTAAAAAGCTGAACTTGATCTATTTATACCGTATAGAATGTTATAATTTAAATCAATTTTTCTTGGAAATTAGTATTTTTTTCATAACTCTCCTGGGACACTATTAATTAATTAATTAACTTTTGTGTTTCTGACGCTAACAACTCTCTCTGTCTGTCGCGTTCTGATGCTAGCCTAGACTCATGACGCTCAGGTGTTTCTGACGCTAACAACTCTCTTTGTCTCTCTCGTTGTGATGCCAGCCTAGACTCATGACGCTCAGGTGTTTCTGCCGCTAACAACTCTCTCTATCTATCACGTTGTGATGCTAGCCTGGACTCATGACGCTCAGGTGTTTCTGACTCTACCAGCTGCCTTTGTCTCTCACGTTGTGCTATTAACCTGGCATCATGTTGCTCAGGTGTTTCTGTTACTAACCGTTCTCTTCGTTTCTGTAGTCGACTATAGGTTTCATTTTCACTTTCTTTTGCACGTTTCGTTCTATACTTTTCTTTCGCCCTTTCGAGCCTTCTTTTTCGTTGTGTAGCAGTTTCGTTTTTATTTTTGATTGTTTTTTATTTATTGTTTCCATGTTGTTCCCACGAGTAATGGACATTTTAACGGTCGATCCCCCCAGAGGTCCAGTAGAGGGGCAAGGCTATAATATACAACAAGAGGCGCCCAATCTTGAGGGGAAACGCTTGCGACATTACATTTTTAGCCACCCTAATGCCATACAGTCCTCAGCACATTTTAACCTATTACCTTAACTTGGGTGGTAAAGCTACCGCTAACTACGTAGATACATCTAATCACCTATTTTTTTTATCTGTCCTTCTAACGTCACACAATCTTGGACACAACTGTTCTGGACACGACTGCTCATGCCCTCACCTAATACGCCATTTTGTAACGACGTCCATCTTGGATTTTAAATTTTGTCATAATCACAGTATTCTACTAGTGTAGCCCTTTCATTTGATACCCATATTGAGGGGGTTGCGGAAAAATATGAAATCCGCCATTTTGTACCGGCGGCCATCTTAGATTTACAATGTTGTTGATATTACTATATTGTATTGTCATCGGAACTAAAGGTGTGTACCAAATTTCAGATCAATCTGACAACAGGAAGGTACTTAAATTTCAATTTCTAATTTTGACCCAAATAAACAAACAAATAAATAAATACCGTACGGGTCGAGCTAAATAAAACCGTTTAAAAAAACTAACTAATATTGAATAAATAAAAAGAAAGTTATAGATACTCATAAGACTTTTTTGTCGCGCTCATTTAAAATCTTTATTCGCGTCTGGCAAGTATTAAATCCCACTGAATTCGTCTGGCAATTAACACATATTTTTTTAATATCATCTAATAAACACGCTGTAAAAATTTTAGAATGCCTAAAGTATGTTTTCCAGGTATAATAATTAAACATATTTGGAATGGACGGGTTACACTTTAAACCCGAAAAAAAAGTCTGGCATACTTATTTCTAGGTTAAATAGATGCTAAAATTTAAGAATAAACAAATTTCAAGTTGCCTAAAGAATGTTTTTTGGATTTATTTTTTTTGCAAATGTTATGGGTTGCGCAGTAGAGAAATACCCCCAAACCACCTGAATCCCCAGCGGGAAATATAAATTCCAGTTAGTCAGCCCGGCGCCGAATATGTCCATAGTTGGCAACAACGTATTTAAAAATCGCGTCCTCGATTAAGTAGTTAAAAGTTTAATTGGTATGGAATATAATTCCTTTGATACATACATTTCCAGAACTTTTTTTATAGTCTGTGAAACGAATAACTTTGAATTTGACAGTTCCCGCGGGCTTTTCTAGTGTTAATTTTATTAGGTTAGCAACTTGCGGCCATGCTGACGCAATGCCGTCTCTAATAGAACAGCCTAGCAACGAGATTTATGACGTCACACTAGTTAGATACTACAAATTAATAACTATGTTGTAGAATACATGGAAAACATAATTATTCCTCGATTTGTTTGTTTGTATTTTAAAAATGATATAGTTTACATGAAATATATATATAATATACAGTTAATAAATACAATATATATACCTATTTATATTAATAAATACTTTGGCAGATAAACTATGAACCATACAAATGCAGCAAATCTTTTACAATATGACTGAAATCGTACTCCATAGTCAATGTAGATAGTTTTTGTGTTAAGAATAATAATTTAAAAAAATATGTGGTCATCTTTTGACAAGTTTATAGATATTGAATGTTTTTTTGTTAAATTAGATCGATTTTCGAACCCCAAAATTTAAAATATATTTTACATTTTACCCATTATCTTATGTACCACCTATTCATTATTTGTATATTGTAAAACATTTGCTGCATTTGTATGGTTCATGTTTATTAGCCAAAGTATTTATTACAATAAATAGGTATATATTATATTGTATTTATTAACTGTATATTATGTATATTTCATGTAAACTATATCATTTTTAAAATACAAACCAAAAATACGAGGAATAATTATATTTTCCATGTATTCTACAACATATTTATTAATCCGTGGTATCTAACTAGCGTGACGTCATAAATCTCGCTCCGAGGCTGTCCTATTAGAGACGGCATTGGTCTGATATTTAGAAATGTCAAAAGTTGATGACATTTTACTTTTGACAGTTATGACATTTCGTGTTAATTTTTGCAAGAGGAGGAAGAACTGTCACTTGTTTTATTAATTTCCTTTTCTATTTCACAAAAGTAAAAAGAGTTACCTATCTGACTCGTTCAGGCACTCAATTTAAAGAATATCAGTAACTTTTTTGATAGAGGGATTTTATATTTGCCATGTTGGTAAAAAATAACGGTCAAAATTCAAAGTTATTCATTTTATAGACTATACTAACAATTTTTTTGTTAGTTTGCAGGTTAAATTTTTCTAGTTTTTAAACAAACTTGTGTCAAACATATTTACACAAAGCCACACATAGTAAGAAATATATATTAAAGAAAAATCCAATCTGAGGGATTGTTAGCCTTAGCCAACGACTGGGAGTTTCCTTCATAAAACAAATAGCACTGTTTGACTTTCTTTGATTGAATTTGTATGAAAAATCCACTGGGAATCGTAACTTAACCTAGTTTTGTCCGCTTTGTTTAAAAACTAGCCACTCTTAATCAGTGGCGCATCCAGAGAGTGAGTCTGGGAGGAGTAATATATTTAAATTAAATTTTCGCTCAAAGGTATTATGACTATGGAAAAAAATAATTTAGATTGTTCTGGATTTCTATCTTGATTGATATTATTAATTTATCTTGTGACAATTTTCATTTATACCAGATTTTCTTATTTATAAATTTCTTTCTGGGAGGGGTAATTACCCCCATTACCCCTCCCGTATATGCGCCCCTGCTGTTAATACCTTACTATCCAGAAAAAAAAAACTTAGACTTTATGGACATAATACAGTATGATCGAAAAAAAACGGTGTCCAATTGGTTTGGAAATGACGATCGATGACATTTTCCATATAAATCTATACTAATACATACAGTGGTGGCCAAAAGTATGGAAACTTTTTTAATTTGTCATTTATGCTAAGAAATTAAAATATGAAATAAAACGACTTATATAATCGTGACCTACAAATAATTTCCTACAAAACCTAATACATTTAAATAAAAAATTACAGCTATCAAAAAATATATAAAAAATTATGAATATTTTCTTGGTCAAAAGTATGGAAACTTAAGAAGAATGTTTATTAAAATTCAAGATAATATAAAAATTACTAATATTTAGTGGAATATCCCTTTGAATTAATTACTTCTCTACATCTTCGTGGCATCGAATCGATCAATCTCGTACAATTTTTACTGGAAGTGGCCGCCCATTCAGTTTTTAGCA